CTAACAACTTCTTCACTCATTTTTGTCAATCTATTAATTCAGCACATGTTTGTAATAGTACACTATTTACTTCTGTTTTAAAATACTGCTGAAACTATATTATTTGTGTCACTTTTTGGACAGCAATCGCCACCATGCCGATTTCGAAAACATATTGTGTAATGGTGGGAGCCATTACAAATGGGACACATGACTCTCTTTTCACACATTCCATTGCTCTATGACCGGGCATGAGGCTAAAAATAACATCCCCTCTTTTCTTAAAATTTCTCTCTTTTCGTTAGCGCGTAAGAAATGGCGGGCCCTCGAGTTCATGACCTTTGTTGCAGTATAAACATTTGCGGCTTCTACGCGATTCACAGTGATGGAAACGGAGAGAGAGTTTGGTTCGGGGTGTTCTGTCATCCGGATTTCTCTTACGATGTCCGGGAAAAGGAGCTATTATTTTTTTCTGTTTGTGTGGTGGAGGAATAATGACATAGTTTTATGCTTGTTTGTTCCAGAACTTCCAGTTTTCAAGTTCATTAACCGCAAAGAAGCGCTTTGGTTAAACCATTAGTCCTGTTGAGAACGGTTGAATTCTAAAATGAGTTCTGAGAGTATAGTTCTGAGGTTTCAATAGGATTGGTGTTACTAAGTTTGAATATGATTCTCCATTAACTCTAAACCTTCAAGACTCCTTATTTGCGTTTCTGCTCTATCATACAAATTTCTCAAACCCATAATATCAGTGAGGATTTCTAACAGTTGTTAAATTTAACAAATTGCTCAAGTGAGCGTTAATTAACATGTTTTTATTTCCAAATCTGTCTTTTAATAGATCAAGAGCTCTATCATAATTATCATCAGAAATTGGAAATCCATTAATGCAAGCAAGCGCATTACCACATAAATAAGATTTTAAATAATTAAATTTATCAACTTTGCTTAGTCTTTTGTTATTATGAATAGAGCTTTCAAATAAATTATAACAATTTAATCATTCAGAATAATTTCCAAAATACTTATTTATATGCAATTTAAGTAAATTTATGTCCATATATTCAGGACTATTGGAATCAATAACTTGGATATTTCGAGAAACTGTATCAACCTGGATAGAGTCAAAATTTATTTTCTTAATTTTAGAAGAAAGCCTCAATTTCCATTTTCATTGTTGATCGTTCCTTCAATTTTGTTTAGCAATTTCGTCAACGTAGAAGCGTATCGCAGTACGCTTCTTTTTCAAATTTGAGATATTTTCCGACATTTTAATCTTCTATTCAGGGTATAATTCAGTTTCAATAAAAATTCAGCTTACGTGAATTCACTGTCGAGCGATGAAATTTCCAATTTCAGGCCGACGCTACCAAGACCTACATTAATGAAATTTGGTATGTATGTTGTTAAATTGAACAAGTTTGGTGAATGGGTCTTTCAGAAATCGACTGTATGCACCCAACAACAAAACGTTTCAAAATATATTTTAAGTAAAAATGTTTCAGATTCTACTTTCAAAAATAAAGGTCTTTTTAGTGTACAGGATTTAAAACCTGATAATGAAATTATATGGATTATATTGTAAATCATGATTTGACAGCTGTACAAAAATTATTTACTACACAAACTTGGGAGAAGTAGAAAAATAATTACATTGAAACAAAACTTTTGGCGTTGCAATCATTGTGAAAGTGCAAAGAGTTTAAAAATATGGTTCAGTGTGATGATTGCAGTTACTGGTACCATTGGAAAAGCGTCAATTTTAAGAATGGGTCAAAAATTAAAAATTGGCTTTGTCCAGATTGTTCTATAAAGTAAAAGATTGCGATGAAGAGGATTATGGCTCCAGGCGATACACTCTATAAAAAACGCATCGAGATTCCTACCTCATGGTGATGTGGAAACGGGATCAATATCATAAATATTTCTAATATGCATTGCTTATTTCCACATGTAATTAATTATTTTTAGAGAGAGCAGCCAAGAGCTGGAGGCCCTGATCACCCGTAAGGTGTTCTCCCTCAAACTTGGGGTGGAACCGAGCCAAAACGTACTATTACCTGAATGGTGCTCAAAGCTACGGCTAACGACTGACGTACTTGTAGCCCTTTGCAGCGATGAATTTCTTGGGCCTCGATCTGGCATCGTCAGACAGGTGGCATTAGTAACAACAGAGGGAGAAGCATTATTTCATAATAACTTATTATTTAGTGTACTAACTCATCAATAAAAATGCACATTTCTTAAAGATTAATTAAAAGAAAAAATGTTTTCCAGTGAGGATATATGTTCAAAAATTATACTTTGGATGACATTTAAGATATTTAATTCCTTCTTAAGCCATCAAAGAAAATTCTTATTTAGTTACTTTTTATTAAAAAGTTACAATTAATATAAATATGTATATACATATGACATACTTACAATATTAAGTGACAAACTAGAAAGCGATTGTCCTTGCAATTTTTTTTTTTTCTTTTTATATATGGTGTTAGACTATTTTTGTTTTGTTACTATTTTATTCATTAATTAAATTTAATTATTCCTATAAAAATGGTATTGTAAAAAAGAACCACATTCTCAGAAATTAATCCATCCCAGGTGGGATTCGAGCCACGACCTTTGGATTAAAAGTCCAATGCGCTATTCATTGCTAAACTGGGACACAACGAACGATTATCCTTTCTATATATGCTGTTGGATTATTATTTTTTGTTACTTTTATTCATTTTTTGAATTTAACAAATGAATTAATATTTGAAAAAAAAACAACGGCATTAACATCAGAAGTGTCATCCACTGCTAGTTTAAAAGATGTATTTGAACTTGAATGGATGAATAGAAAGTATTTTATTAACGATTGAAAAAGAGTGGACTAGCAGCTGGGATTAAATAAGAAGTGAACAACATAAAATATAAGCATTCCTTCAAAATAGTTAAATAAAAAATTAAGATCTTAATGAGAATTTTGTACTTTGTAAAGCTATAGCTTAATGACGCAATATCAGGGGTATAGTTTGTGATTTTCAATTTAACACATGATTTTAATATTGAGTTGTTACGTGGGGGATTCAGATTTAATACTAGAAATTCTTTTTATCCAATTGCACCATATTTTTTAGAATTTAAACGGAGAATGATTGATGATTGTTTAATGGCGCAAAGAGCCAATTCTGCTGCTATACTGCGCCAAACATTTTGATTAAAAAATAAAAAAACATGGTCAGATCTTGAAATGGTGATAAAACACAGTAACATACGGTGAAATATATAAAACACAAGAATGAAATACTTGAGATGAAAACATTTCGCAATTTTGGTGGGTGATACCCCACCAATTCAGTGAGTGAGTGAATGAATGTTGGGGTTATTGGTGCAAGAGCCAATTTTGCCCCAATTGCGCCGAACAATCGTTAAATCATTAAATGTATAAAACCATTAAAAAGCTATAATATGTTCTAGTTAAAAAGGTAAAATCTCAAAATATATATAAAAGTAAATTTGAACAAATAAATCCAATACATACATTGGTGGAAATTTACCACCAAGTTCGACAAGTTTAAGTAAAAATGTCATTTTCTGCTTCTCGTTGGTGTTAATAGTATAACGATCCTTTCCAATATTGTTTCCCGTCTTTTTCAACGAGATGAGGATTCGGTTCAAGTTCTTCTTCTCAACGTCATATGTAATCATGTCTTCCTCATCCGTTGTGTATTCTGTTGAAGCTGGTTTTCTATCTGCATGGGCCATCTTTAGTTCTATTTTTCTTCATTTAATTTTTTAAGTAATTCTTTTTCTGTTTTCTTATACGAGTTTTGAATTTTGTTTGGAATCCCGTATAGTATTGGATGTAGAAAGGGAGTTGAATATCGTTGGATAAGGAAGTGGATACGTTTGAGGAAGATTCAATTGGGAGGAATATATTATTGGAGAGTAAGTCGTTAGATATAGAATAGGGGGTTCAGGCTTCTTTGACACTGTAGCCGCTTTTGAACATGTGGAAGGAAGTAGTTCTGCTTGAGTTGATAAGGATGATGTGGAAATAGCTGGAGTGGATATTAGCCCTCCAAG